TTGCTTTGTGTTAATATACCTTTCTAATTGGATGAAATCCGTTTGATGTATATACATTGAGCACCACGAGTGTTTCACGTAGGAAGTTGTAAATATTATTGTGTAATAAATATTTGTAGTTAATTTCACCTTTAACTAAGACTTCGTTTCAGTCTATACTATATGTATATAGATAGGTGTTATGTCCGTGTGGTTATTCGGCTTAAATAACATATCCCTAGACAGAGTGCCAAGAGGAGATCTCATACGAGAGACACTCCTCTCTAATAAGTCATAAGTCAGATCACCACAGATCCCGTACCGATCGCGATCCCTAGTGAGATCCCTTCATTGCTGAGATCACATTCCCCAGTATGGAATCCCGATCGTTGCTGGGAACAGGTTCCCGGGTGGGATCCCGTTCCCAATGTGGTCCCATTTCTTAAAGGGATCCAATACCTCGATTGGTGAATATAAAAAAAAAAAAGGATCTCGAGGCAACAAACAATGTATAATGGCTGTCTGTGTACACGTCGGTCTTGTAATGGCTGTCTGTGTACACGTTGGTCTTGTAATGGCTGTCTGTGTACACGTCGGTCTTGTAATGGCTGTCTGTGTACACGTCGGTCTTGTAATTGCTGTCTGTGTACACGTCGGTCTTGTAATGGATGTCTGTGTACACGTCGGTCTTGTAATGGATGTATGTGTACACGTCGGTCTTGTAATGGATGTCTGTGTACACGTCGGTCTTGTAATGGCTGTCTGTGTACACGTCGGTCTTGTAATGGCTGTCTGTGTACACGTCGGTCTTGTAATGGCTGTCTGAGTACACGTCGGTCTTGTAATGGATGTCTGTGTACACGTCGGTCTTGTAATGGCTGTCCGTGTACACGTCGGTCTTGTATACAAAAATATGTAGATTCGGGGTTGGGAAACGGTATCCTGACCAGGCCACAGGTGGGCGGTTCCAAAGACTGAATTTCGACACCCCCGTCCCAAATATAAATATATATAAATTTATATAATTTTTTTTAAAAATAAAAAAAACTACATTTTATTGCTTATTAAGTAAGGACTTATTTTTTAATTTTTTTTTATTTACTCCTCTTGTTTGAAGGGTGTAAACCATTGATATGGTAATAGAAAGTAAGGAGAAACAAGAAGACTTTTTCATAATTAAGATTACGATGTAGTTGATTACAAATTTACACCTCCCCCAAAAATGTATTCTAAATATTCTTGCTCGAAGTATTTGTTTTGTGTTCCTAATCAAAAATGTTTTTTTTGGTTTTTTTTTTTTTGTTGTTGTTTTTCTTTGAGACTTCCAAAAAGAAATCAAGTCTCTAAAGATATCGACACAGAAGTGGGTCCTTGAGAAGGGACACCTTGCCTGACGAGCAAGATTTTTGTGTATTAAAACAAACCCTCTGCCACAGTGGCGTGGCTAGGGAAGGGGGAGAGGGGTCCAAATGCGAAAGTCCCCCCCCCCCCCAAAGGGGGTCCGCAATTTTTTTTACATTAAATA